CCCTGTCGAAGTTTTTGCCGAGGCATTGAATACAACCCTGATTTTTGTAGTTGTTGACTCCGGGCGCTCGACACAATGGTGCGGCATATAAAAGTCCGGTTTCATATGACCCAATGATAAGTATTCTTGAATAAATAATTTATAATGTTCTGCGGTATTATTTTGTTTTGTGAATCGTCGTTCCAATTGTTTGAATTGCGCAATTGCTTTTTGTTTCGATGTGCCCAAGTCTTGTTCAATGTTTGACTTAAGGGGAAGTTTCACTTGGTATCTTCCATCCTCGCGTCTTGTGGTTGTTGATTTATACAAATCGATGCATGCTTGATCTTCTGACGTGAGAGTAGACTCTTGAGTAATGTCCTCGATCTCCCAAAACTGTTGGATGTTTTGTATATTATTCAGCAAAACATTGCACTGTAAAGTAACCTGATTAGCGCTTCCACTTAATATCCAACCAAATCGCGTTTGTTGGGCGATTGGCGTGTTATTGTTTTCTCTGCAAATTCCGTCTAAGATGATGTTTGAGTATACTTCTGCTCCCAGAAGTATATCTACCCGCCGACTTTTGTAGAATTCTGGATCTGCTAACTGTATATTTTCTAGGAATGACCATGACGGCTTGTCCAAGGTGTAGTTTGGTAAATTATTGATCAGAGTTTTCATTATGAGAGCTTCGGTATTAAGTGTGAAGTCGCTATTATTGGACTTGATTGTTAACTTAATCACGCCTTTACAATTGTTTTCCTTTATGCCGATCCCCGTTATGACCCCTTTACACTGACTTCTAGGTAGTGATAGAAGTTGAGCTGCTTTCTCTGTGATAATTGAGGTCTGGGATCCTTGGTCCAGGAGTGCTCGGAGCTTGTAGTAAGAGCCATTGTTAGCTTGAACTTGAACAATAGCTGTAGCGAGCAGTATCTCTGGCACGTCGCGCTGCTGTGACACGTGCACACTGTTCTGGTTCTGCTGGACAGCATCTGCGCTGCTTGATGAGTTTCCCTGGTTAACCGTTCTTGATGAGCTAGGTTGTTTCATGTTTTTAGATGTTACGAATGCTTCGTGCAATATTGTGTTGTGCTGACCTTGGCATTCGCGGCAGCGATTCTTAGAAATACACTTTCCTTGGTGATGGTTTAGGCAGTTTGAGCACAGCCGTAATCTTGATATGGTACTGCGTCTCTACTGCGGCGTCATTGCTATAAGTTTTTGGCAAAAATATATTCCATGGCCATTGTTACAGAGCGGGCACGTGGTTGTAAACTGATTACTTGTTTTTGCATTTGTTGGTTCTGTAACATTGTAGCTGGAAAATACTTGGTATCTTGATTTATTATGCTTCACCGGGACCTGACTTGATGATGGTTTTTGCGTGGTTGGTTCTTGTTTTCTACGGGATGTTTCCAACGTAGTGAATTTTCCTTCCAGGAATGCCAAAAAATCTTTGAGCGTCGGTAACTCACGTGGTTGTTCTAGGGATTCATTGTAATCATTGAATGTTTCATTGTCCAATTTTTGTGACAGTAAGTGCACCAGCAATGGATCTCACGTACTGATATCAACACCTAAGTTTTTCACGGCGTTGAGTGTCTCCAGAGTGGTGTCATGAAGTCGCTTGATCTGGTTGATAGCTTGATGTTGTTGTATGACAGGAATATTCAATAAGCTGTTGATGTGCGAAGTAAAAATGAGTTTCTTGTTGTTGTATCTGTGGTTAAGAATTTCCCAGCAGATATTATAGTTTTCAGTGCTGATCGGAAGATGCTGCAAAAGCCTTGCTGCTTCGCCTTGCACCTTAACTTTAAGAAATTGCATTTTCTGTGCGTTTGATAATGATGGGTTATTATGGATAGTTTCAGTGAACAGGTCCTTGAATGACGTCCACTGATGATAATTTCCTACAAAAACAGGTATGTCCATCTGGGGGGTTGATTTTTCCCGATGGGACACTGACCACAGCTTGCTGTTGATGGATCGTTTGGTGGAATTATATAGTTGTTCATAATATGAAAAAGTGCTCTCATATTCTTGGTTGGCTCCTTGAACTTCACTGTCGATGTCCCAGTGCAGACTGTCGATAGCTGACCATCGCAACTGCAAAGAGCGGAGGAGATCTTCCAGCTCCCATTTCTCCGTCACATCGTCAAGATTTATGTTAGAAACTGTCCTTTTAAATGCTCTGAAGTTGCTTGATTGCTTCTTGAATAATTCATCTGTCTTGCTGTTGGTTCCCTGGGACTCCGTTCTAAATGAATGTTGAGCTCCCGAAGTTGAGGGTGCACACATTGGAGTTGCGGGTCTTATCAAGGGCGTTGAAGGTTTTGGTTGATGTTCCGACTTTGGTAAGTACGCTTTTATTGTAGCTGTTATATCCTCATAATTTGCCTTGGTTTTTTCATACATATTGTTAGTAAAATAAGCATGGGACTTGTCTGGAAAAGCGCACAGTTCAACATGATTATTCAGGAATTCCTGCCAATACCCTTCTAAATTATTCAATCTTCGATTAATATAGTCGGGCGTCTTTCGCTCTTGACTATCTTTCTTAAAATTTACAAATATTTGATTAATGCCATCGATAATTTGTTGTTGATTTGCTAGGAGATTTTCCATGCTTGACATTATTTGGTGAAGGAGTTGATACGTTAAAACCTTGGTAAAAAATCACTTACTTGTTTTGCTTGTTTTTGAAAATACCTTGATACGCTTGCTTGATATGCTTGTGCTTTGCTTGTGAAATCCTTCTGCTTGATGTGCTTGATGAATGCTTATGCTTGGTGTGCTTGGAGAGTGTTGGCTTGGTGTGATTGGTGAATTCTTGCTTGGTTTGCTTTGTGAATGTTTGCTTGGTTTGCTTGGTGAATGCTTGCTTGGTTTGCTTGGTGAATGCTTGCTTGGTTTGCTTGATGAATGCGTCAAATTTGCTATGCTTGTGGTATTCTTGATATTCTCGGTTTTGTGCTTGGTGTTATTACTGGTTCTCAGTATATTTGCAGACTCAGTACACGTAGAGCGCCGTCTCAATTCGGCTGGTGAGACCCGCTGGTGGGAGGCCAACCGAACCGATCGCACTGCACTTGAGATCCACAAAACACTGATCAGTTTCCTCGAAGGACCATAAAGATGTTTGGTCTTGGTATACCACACACCTTTTACTTGATCTGATGATGAATGATTTAAACACGATCTTGAGAAAAACAATGATTTATTGCGATTTCACAATACACGAAACTTGGTAAAAATATAAGATTGAGGCACGCGACCGTATTGGTAGGCAAACACAAAAACACTCAAAAATAAAATATTAATGAATGAGGTCAGTCGCGCATAGTGTCAAATTACTAAAATGCTGACGCGGGAGAATGCACGGTGTTGCACCGTACAATATAGAATAAATAAAAAAAATACGTGTGGCACTCGGTGACTGCCGCGGTAAAGCTATTGCATAGCATTTTTTATCAACTTATGCAATTGTAATTATTTTATTTATGCAGTTAAGTCTTTGATATTAAATCAAGTTACACTTTTTGAGCGTGGTGACCGATAAGAAAACATTTTTTTTTCTCTTATTGAATAAATGAGAAGTTAATATTGTTTAAAATATTTTTAATATCTTACAATACATGTAGGTTATTCAGGAATTTTTATCATTGAGTTAGCAGCTAGTGTACACGCACACAAACACCGTGCCGAAGTCTGCCGAACTAAAACGACGTTAGACGATGCACGGCTTTCAACGCCACACCTCCGTGCCCGTCGGAGTGGGGAGCGTGAGGATTTTTTTCGTTACGGAATTTCTGGATTCGGTCCCCGCGCTCAAGGCCCGCGATAGAAGCTATGCAATAGCTTAAAAGGTTCCAAGTTTTAAATTATATGTTTTAGTTACAAACGAACGCAAAGTCCACTTCATAATAAGTGCAAGCTTAGGCTCATAGAAACCTACATCTGTCCTAGATGAAGAATCAAAATGTCGATGCATTGACATTTATCAAAATTAAGATTCTAAGATGATCCCTGATTCTAAGATAGAATACACGATTACCAATATACAGTAAAAACTCGTTCGTTATTTTCGTTATTTAAAAAACGTTACCCCTACATTAAGATTTTCTCTTGTATCATGAGGACAGTTTACAAACATAAATTGCACAAGGACAAACATCCAGACCCGAAACAACTATATGTAGGCCATACAAATACTTGTTCCGTGCGGGGTTCGAACCCGCGACCCCCAGCGCAGCCACTCATTGCTAAGCCACTGCGCCACGGAGTCGTCGAACGCTGTCTCGAAAACTGTCTGTGCTGTACCTGATTAATTGAAACACAGCAGTATTATACTGCTATCACATGGAATACTAACATCTGTAGCCTATTTTTTACGTTTGATGATATGCTTATAGTTTTTACTTGTATAAATTTTGAACTAAAGCGAAACTGGTGACATACGAGTAAGTTTAAGCGTCTCTTAGGCGTTTAAGTTGTTTAACAGATATGTCTAATATTTTAAGATTTCAAAGAATATATTTAAAAAATTTGGAGATTATTGATAAAGAATTTCTTTTTCTTTGAAGTTTTTAAAGTGATATATTTGTTTTGATTTACAAGACTGTTTTAAATTTAAACTTTAAAAACAAATCATTATTTTAAATATATGATTTATTATTTTTAACCTTCAAGCGGGCGCGCGTAGTCGAATCGACCGCGCTTATTACATTTTCGTTTATATTATTATTATTACCCATCACATTTATTTCTCATTTCTAGTAGCTTGTCGCTATGTCGTTGGGAGTAAAATAAAGAATAAACCGTCGCTCGGGGCGCTCCCCCCACTCCACAGATCGCAATTGTTTTAGTCCCGGTGCAGTCGTCGAAAAGACTACACGCGCCTGTCGTCGAAAAGGTTACGCGCGACGCTCAACGCGACATACCCTCGTTCACGCTCGTGGTAGTTCTTCGGCCGTCATTCAATATTATTGAATTAAGCTTGGATTTTTTTTTATAAAATGAGGCTTAGACGGTTACCACAAAGTGCAATACTCGAGGAATTACTAAGAGAAGACGAAGAAGAGAGTGAATCAGAGCTCAGCGACCAAGGCTCTGAAACTGCCGACCACATCGTTGCCGAGGAACCTCGATCTGCTGAGGAATCAAACTGCTCGGACTCAGAAGAGTATGATTTGTCACTTTCAGAAATAAGTAGCTGTTTTACAGGGCGCGATAAAGTAACGAAGTGGCAAAAATCTAACAATAACAGAGTGAGGCGTCAAGTTCAAAATATTCTCACGGAAGATGCGGGCACTCGTAGGAATGGTGTGGGAGTGACAACATTTACGCAAGCCTGGAGTTTATTTATTTCAGAGAATATTATTGAAAAAGTTGTTAGATATACCAACGAATTTATTCAAAAAAAAAAGCGCCATCGTATAACAGAATACGTGACTGCAAACCGACAGATGCGGTGGAAAATCTATCACTTTTCGGATTGTTGTACGTAGCGGGATCCTTGAAGACATCACACGCCAATTTAGAAGATTTTTATGCAAGTGATGGGACAGGTATTCCTATTTTTCCTACTACTATGTCAGTAAAAAGAGTAAAATTTCTACTGAATTCATTGCGGTTTGATGATGCTACTACGCGACATGCTCGTTGTACTCTAGACAAAGCTGCGCCAATAAGAGAAGTTTTAGATATGTTTACACAAAACTGTCTTTTGCCATATTCAGTGGGAGAGAACGTCGTAATCGATGAGATGATGGTTGGCTTTCGAGGAAAATGTCCTTTCCGACAGTACATGAAATCAAAACCCGACAAATACGGAATCAAACTTTATCTACTACTAGATGCTGCTACGTTTTACGTCCTAAATATTGAACTTTATGCTGGCAAGCAGCCTGAAGGCCCATATCAGTTGTGTAATGCTGCGGCAGACGTCGTAAAGAGGCTAATTACACCAATTTCTGGCACTGGAAGAAACCTTACCATCGACAATTGGTATACCAGTGTGCCGCTGATGAACGATTTGGCCAAGGATTATAAGATTTCTGTTGTGGGTACCATGCGTATAAACAAGAAAGAAATACCTCCTTGCTTTATAGATAAAAACCAACCTGAATATTCAAGTCAATTTGGATTTTCAGATACAGCTACACTCTTATCTTATGTGCCTAAAAAGAAAAGATCTGTAGTTCTTATATCATTACTTAATTGTGCTGCAGAAATTGATGAAAGTACAAATGAAAAGCGCAAACCCAGCATCGTTACTTTTTACAATAAAACAAAGGGGGGTGTAGATGAAGTCGATAAAAAAGCAAAAATGTATTCGGTTTCAAGGAAGAATAATAGATGGCCATTGACACTCTTCTTTCGTCTTCTGGATATTGCAGGAATAAATAGTATGGTGATATTGAGGGCAAATAATGTGACTCTACGGAAAAGGCGAATGTATTTACGGGCATTAGGCACTGAATTGACAAAAGAGTACGTCCAAAGAAGATCAACGATGTTAGGCCTTCCAAGAAAACTAAAAAGAAACATAATGGAGCATTTGAATATGGAGGATAGTGCTGCTGATACAGAAGCAGGTAGTTCTGGCACATGAAGAGGAACCTGTAAAATATGTCCAGCCAAAAAAAGGAGGCAATCAAAAACGCAATGTAAATTATGTATGAAAAATATTTGCAGAAGTCATACAACATGTATTTGCAATCAATGTTATATGGACGAAGGAACTGATTGTGATGAAAACTAAGCCAAAGTTAATTTTTTTATTTTTATTTTGTAATTTTTATTATTAGACTAGTATATAAACTAGTCTGAGATATGTAAAAGGGTTTTGTGTTCCTAATTTTTGTTTTCATTCAAAGCATATTTGAGTTATGGTAATTAATTTAATAATTGTTTCTTTTTCATAATTTTAATTACATTACTTTTTTTGACAAATCAGACTTTAAAGGCAATGATAATATATCTGAGTACAAATAAATAAATAAATATTGAATAATTAGTGCTTTGAAATAATACTAGTTTTTACGGAATTTATCGCGTATATTTAACTTTTTAAATACCCGACGTTTCGAGAGCTTTACAGCACCCATGGTCACGGGAAGGACTGAGATGTTCAACATCCAGCTGTCATAGTTAACCGCGGTTACCATAGATTAAAATTTAACTTTTGTTCCGATCTATGCAGTTAAACTTTAATCTATGGTAACCGCGATTAACTATGACAGCTGGATGTTGAACATCTCAGTCCTTCCCGTGACCATGGGTGCTGTAAAGCTCTCGAAACGTCGGGTATTTAAAAAAGTTAAATATACGCGATAAATTCCGTAAAAACTAGTATTATTTCAATGTGTAGTGTTCGCGTAAATATAAGAAATAATTAGTGCTTTATTTCTCTTATTCATCCCATAGGTCTTTTCGGTTACGCGCGTCCGCTCCCGTTACAAATGACCGCGCGCCCGCTTGAAGGTTAATAAGTTTTACGTGGAAACATATTTTTCATTTCTGAACATAAATATTTATTAATTGTTTTATTTAGGTTAGAATGAAGAATATTGTATTAAGAGTATTTTAATAATAATTTATTTAAATTATATTGAATATGAAATACATATATTAATATGTTTTTTATTTACCGTTCGTGAAGGTGCATTAGGTTTATCTATTGTAATGTTATGGTAAAGTTAGCGACGTAAAGTTACGAGCATTTATGTATTAAAATTTTATCATACAAGTTTCTGTAAGCATATTGTAAGTCTGCTTATATGTAGGTCAAACCAGCTGCAAGTTTTGTTTTCTTATCAAAAGAAAAGTACCAGGCCTCTACAAAAGCTGTCACCTTCACATATCACACAGAGAGACAACTTTTGTGTAGTGAAAATTCTTAGAAAAATAACCGACCTTTTATTATTTTCCGGTCGACCCAGAAAATTCCGCAAAGCATTCTGTGATTCAGCAGTTTTGAGCAGAGAATACATTTACACCTTACAATATGATTTATGTTTATGTTAAATGCAATATTTACATTATTAGGCACTAAAAGTCAAAAAACATTTTAAGGTTCTTTTAATAAGAAAATGTATGTACTACTTTACGTTTCTGTATTCATTAAAAATATAAATTAATTTAAAGAAAAGTGTCATTAAAAAGCAAAGAACCCGAACGATGATATCGTATGCATGTAATTACTCTAAGGATGATATCCTAAAATTTTATTGACTGATAAAATGACAAGTTCTTCAGAACGTATTTTAATATAATCAAGTGTTACTTTGCGGAAATTTCTTTATAAATTAGGAAACTCGCATGCTGAATCATGGGTTTTATATTTTAGAAGTATGTACTTCACCTGATGGTAAGTGAGCCTGTGGCGCATCTTATCTATCCTCCATTAAGAATCAAAATGCATATTCGTTGTTACTAAGATGTCTCGCCCTCAACAAATGTTTTCATTTCTTTACACTATATTGCGAAATACAGCAGCATACAGGTCTTTCCCCACGCAATCTAACCTAAACTTGCAAGGTAACAAACTTTACCGCAAAAAATTTACGATAGAAAACGTCTGGTACAGGTAAAACCCACTAAAAAGACGGAGGTCTAGCTAGTATTGTAATGTGTATTCATTAATAAATATTAAAAATGATCATAGAAGTCTCAATAGAAATCAAAGTTCATAAATAGGGATTGGCCCTAACAAAGAAAATAATAATATAATGTGTTAGTTTTCAATATTAACTAAAACATTATATGGTGAAATAACCACCGAATAAGGTTTTACGCACATCATCAGATGTCTGTCGAATAAAGACATTTATGTAGTAGTAGTAATAGACCGGACATTACCAACAAAATTGTCGTCTGATACTTTAGTCCTATATAGGATATATTTCGTATTTATCTCATAGAGTCTGAGTGACATCGTCAAAATATCGAGAAGCATTCGTTTCCTAAATTAAAAAATATTTTTTCGGTTTATTATTGCAAGTATAATGTTGCAAGCCATCACTAATGGCACTAGCGCCATCTAGTATCGAGTAGCAGAATTAAGAGAGCTTTTTAGAAAATTACATGCTAGAACTTTTCCATTAGCGCCATCTAGTATCGAGTGCCAGATGTAGGAGAGAACTTTATCGGTAGCACTTAGTCGGTTGGGAGCGGTATGTACTCGAAGATTCTAGATGTTTCAGTGGAAAAAGCCTACGAAAAGCCGGTAAAGGCCGCGACCGAGTCAATATTGAATTGGCGATTCACGTGAATACATCGAAGCATTATAATTGCAAACTAAGTGTTAAGTGTTATTAATTATTAATGTGGTTTAAGTTAATTGGTGTTCGGTAATTAAAGTATCGATTTTGGTAATTCAATCGCCAGTTTTTTTGTCACGAACCCTAAGCTCGTAACAACTGGCGTCTGAAGTGGCATAAAATCATGCCAATTTTACCTAAAGATGACACGGAGGGTATCCGTACCCGAAGTCAACGCCAACAGCTCTTGATTTAGGTGCTCTGATGACGATGATGATGATGATGCAAGAGCAGGCCCGCCGACAGGAGGAAATAGCCCATCGGCAGGAAGAACAGGGCGATCAGTTAGAAGAGCAGATGCTCCTCATGAAGAACCTTCACGCCATTTTCGGAAAAGATATAAGGGATGTGAAGGATAGGGTTGCTTAACATGCACAACAACCGCCTGTCGGAAGCTAAAACCCTAAAGCTGGCTGATGTGAAGAAAACGCTGGACGACCTCAAACTTGGGGATGAAATAACAGCTCCCGTGGTAGCTACAACTTATTCCTGATCGGCCTACAAAATCCAGTTTGAGGCTGTCATGAAGGCGAACGTATAGAATATAGGTCAGGCCAACTGCACTCACCTTAGGCCTGCGCAACCCAACCTTAACTGTTCTGGAAGCTTTCGGTAAGAAAGTGACTTACGAACAGCTTCTTGAGGCAACATATGGCAAAGCTCCACTAAAAAACGTCTTTCGTGCGTAGCTTAAAGACTGCGTGCAATGCATCAACGAAAACCTACAGCAGTGGGCCCTAGAGGTGGAGAAGCTAGTTCGAAAAGCATACCAGTCTGTACCTGCGCTTATTGAAGAGAGCCTGTTACAGACATTCATCAATGGCATCCGCGACTTTGAAGTCAGAGCTTCTGTGAGGCTCGGGCACCACGAGACGCTTAAGGTCGCCTTGTACCATGCACTGGAGGTGGAAGCCGTGCGTCAGAATAATCGGTCAGGAAGGTTGCAGCAGCTACAGTTTGTGATCGCAATAAAGGATACAGCCCTAGGTGCTACGGCTGTGAGGACTTTTCCTCACAGGTAGCAAGGCCATCTTCGATTCAGCTGCCCTAAGCTAACTATAGAATGGGAAGATGAATGATCTCGAGAGGGCAGTGCATCTAACCGCGCCGCCCAGCAGCAGCAGCGAAACTAGTAAAAGTCAGGAATGCAGAACTTGTGCTGGCTGATGTTAAAAGAGCCCCAA